TGAAATAGTAACCCCACACGCGCTATCACCGTATCGTATACACCGGCGGGGTACCAGTGGAGGATGACAGGTGAGGATGAAGCGGGTCAGTAAGCCAATCGTGACGAATTCAATGAGAATTGTTCACGGTGGTTTCCAGGGGGAACCACTTGGAGGTCGACCTAATAGGGCATATTGCTAGCAATGGGGCTGTCATACCCCATTGCTAACAATCCCTTCCCCCCAATAAGGAGGACTAAATAATTATAAGGATAGGTAGTGGGGTTTAATTAGGTTTTCAAAAAAGGGGAAAGATTGAGGACACCGTATATAGGTAGAGAGTGAGTTCCACAAACGAACTGCTTGCACGGAAAAGGATTTGGAGTAGAAAGAGGAAGAATGAGTGGGAATTTTGAGTTAAAGGTTGTCAGTATAGTTGTTTTAAAATAAATAAAATCGAGGCAAATTGAAAATAATTTGAAAGAATCATTACGATAAACATTAGCTGTATGGATAGAGCCATTTGTTTTCGCTTTTGGAATAAATATAATGAAAACAAAATTACCAATCGTCACAAAATTAGATTCAATTTTACTACACTAGGTTTTATTGTATTGTATTGTAAAATCTTTATTGTACATAATTCAAATTAAGCACTGATAAATGATTTAATATACAATGGTGGACTTATCTCATAAAGGGATCCCTTACAGTCAACCTTTGAGAAGCTATAGAATGAAAGAAAACTATAGAATGTATAAGGGTAATAACCGTACAATTAAAGATAAACTAAATAATACCCAGTAAAAAAATTGAATATATAATACAATAAAAACAGCTCTATATACCTACATATGTAAATAATAAAAGTACATGAATAATTATATAACATTAATACATAAATAAATAAAAACTTACACACATTATGGCAGTCCATATAACTGGTTATTTAATTAGAATTATTTTGTTTAATTCCGCTACCAATCCTCGAGTGTTTATTCCAATATTTAAATGGAATATGGTTTTAACCAAATAATAAAAAATAATCAACTAAACAGTAAAACATTGAGTAATTTAGTTATTACATCCAAATAATAATAATAATAAAGATTTATTGCACATAAAAGTATACAGTCATGGGCTTACAGAAATTTCAAAGTGAATTATATGTGTATAAAATGTATCATTATGCCCAGCACATTAGTGTCTAAACTAGGCCTAGCCTGTATCTTAGACACCAATGCCTTCTATTAGATACATATGTTCGTGCAGTTTCGCTATATTAAAATAGTACAGGATTCAGTAAACAACATGTTTTATATTACTAAAATAGGGTATCTGTAAAATAAATTACAATGTTGTATCAAAAAATAATTTATGTTGCTTCAATTGAAGCTGTTTTGTTTGGAGAAATACAATTTTATTATTATGTTTATTTGTTATAAACAAACAAATAAATATTCCTTTATTATTTTATTACTATTATTACTATTATAATATCAGTTTACGTACGAATGAAATACCTTTAAAAATTATTATTTTTAAGTCACTTTAAAAATTTATACAAGTTTTAAATCTAAATAAAATTTCTATTTCGTATTAATAATTCAGATAAGAAAAATATATGTCACCCAGTATATATGTATTCACAACTCTACTATTTTGTAGATGTCAGCCACACTTGTTGGGTACAATAATAATTGCTGTCCTTAAAGTGAATTGTTTGACATTTGTATTGTGTTAGGCGACACTGTATACAGGTAAAATGTAACCACTCGATTTAACTAACTGCGGAGTTTACGTTTAACAATTACTCTAATTAGGATGCAAGAGATTCTCTTAATGTAATTTAATAGGAGTATTTATCTGTTAATCATTAGATAATGATGCTGAAAGACTAAGAGTCATTTTCAGAAAAAGGTTTTTCTGTTTTCTTGTACACCAGTAACAAAGAATTGAAAATTGTATTCGCCCATGATAACCCCCATGCGTTGCCATTCCTGAGGACTCAGGTGTTATTCCTCTGTACCCAGTAAATTCACGCCATATCCCACCTTTCAAACCGAAACACAGCCATGTAAACACAACTGCTTCACGGTTGAAACACGAATTGTACAGAGGTACCCAAGCAATCGACTTTTGTACAAAGTCTTCCACTGGTGACACATAATACCTTTCTTCCTTATGCAGTCGGTTAAAAATATGGTGCAATCTATGAAATATTAATGACCGGAACATTTACATTTCCACTTTATAAATATTAATTGGTTAGTTTTAACCGTATCGTCGAATAATGGTTTTGAAAAGTTATTAATATTTAAAATTCAATTTGACATATGTGAAAATGTATTATTCAATAGTTCCACTGAGTTAAGTTTTTATTTCCTGGCATTTCTTGTTTCATATACTGGACAAAATTGTCCTAATTTTTTCTTTTTATTGTTTTCATTTTTTATTTTCTTAATGTTGGTAATAAAGGTTATCTATGTATCTATCTATGTATCTATCTATCTAAGTTTGTGCTACACTAGTACATTCTGACTCTACCAGTGACAAGCGAATTCGTCGATAGAATCGACATCGCTAGTGAAGCCGTAAGTTGGAATAAATCACTCGGGGGGTAAAAGGATTGTTAGCAATGGAGTTTAACAGCCCCATTACTAGCAATATGCTTTATTAGGTCGACCTCCACGTGGTTCCCCTTGGAAACCATCGTGAACAATTCTTGTTGAATTCATCACGATGGGCTAACTGACCTGCTTCATCCTCACCTATCATTCTTCACTGGTGCCCCGTCGGTGTATACCGATAGCGCGGGTGGGGTTACCATTCCATTATCATCCATTAAAAAAAAAATAAGTCACTCGGCGTTGCTATCTCATTCTATCTCACGGACTCGCTAGCGATGTCGTTTCCATCGACGAATTCGTTTGCCATTTGTCTAGAGGCTCTGAACGAGAATCGAACCTCATTAACGTAACGAAACATCCTTAATACAGCACTACGAAGGTCTTCAAATTATCATATTTCATATTTATTGTGGTATAAAAAACAATTTATACCAGAGGGAGACTTTGTACAAAAGTCGATTGCTTGGGTACTTCTGTCCCATTCGTGTTTCAACCGTAAAGCAGTTGTGTTTGCATGGCTGTGTTTCGGTTTGAAGGGTGGGATATGGCGTGAAATTATGGGATACAGAGGAAAAACACCTGAGTCCTCAGGAATGGCAACGCATGGGGGGTATCATGGGCGAAACAGTATACTCTGTTATGTCCATGGTACTGTTTATTTTTATAGGCGACGGTTACCACTTTCCATCAGGTGGGCCGTCAGATTGTTTGCCATTTTAAGTTGTATAAAAAAAAAACAATTTCACGGCTAATTCCCTTCAGGTGATCAATCATATGTTTTGTAAAGAAATTTACATACGCATCCTGTTAATATTATAAATGCGAGAGTTTGTAATGTTGGATAGATGGGTGGGTGTTTATACTGTTTCGCCCATGATACCCCCCTATGCGTTGCCATTCCTGAGGATTCAGGTGTTATTTCTCTGTACCCAGTAAATTCACGCCATATCCCACCCTTCAAACCGAAACATAGCCATGCAAACACAACTGCTTCACAGTTGAAACACGAATGGGACAGAGGTAGCCAAGCAATCGACTTTTGTACAAAGTCTCCCTCTGGTGTCTTTGTACAAAAGTCCCGGTACAGAATAGGTCATCTCTTTCGTCCCCGTTGGTGAAGTAAGAGGCGACTAAGGTAACTTAGAGATGGCCATCAGCCTCTTTAAATGTCACCAAAATTCTAACTGCAGTTGCCAACCCGTCTGCCGAGCGTGGCAACTACTGGCAACCCCTCCCCCCCCCAATAGGGGGAGGCCTATGTTCAGCACTGGACAATTAAGGGCTGATATAATAACGATACTAACGCACCGTATTCAGCTGTCAAATTAATGTGAACAGCTCTAAATATTTTGACGTCTTCCATTCATTTTTTTGTTAACAAAAAATATTTATCTCTTAAGAAAAAAAATTGTGAAGTATTTTCGTTTTGGAATATACTTTTAAATTATTAATAATGACTTCGATCTCTTTATTTATCAATCGCCATCATCATCATCATCATCTCAGCCGTTGTCTGTCCACTGCTGAATATAGACTTCCTCGATAAACTGCTATAAGGTATGTTCCCGACTTACATCTATTTGACTCCCAGCAATGCATTTGTCGGTCGTTATTCCATCTAGTTGGTAGTCGACATACTCTGCGTTTGTCTTTATAGGGTCGTCAAATAAGAACCTTTTTTTTCCCATGTGCATTAATAAATCATTAATAAAGTTAATGTCGCATACTAAAATTTCTTATTAAATTTAGCTTTGAATCCACCTTTTGCACCATTCCAATTTGTGGCCAATAAAGTTAATAAAAAGACTTCTGAATTCAACTCAGATTTCTTGGGATTTTTTAACATTATTTACGGCGAAATCATATTTTTGCCTTCCATTTGCATTTGTTACTCCGGTTATCGTGCTCGCCTCCAATTTTTTCGGATCTTCTTTCGCCTACGAATATTTTATGTTGTCCTCGATATAAAATGCTATTCGTTTGCATTTACCCGTTTCTAACATTTTAATGGATGGTTATTTACGATGACATATTTTGTGCTTTATTTATATATCTAATAGAGATCAAATTAGCATTATTATTTTGAGCTATATTTATTATTATTTACATTTTCTACAATATTATTTAGGCTTTAACATCGAACAAGGAACAACATCGGATCATTGCTATTGTAAATAAGTAACCAAATAGATTTTATTTTTTATTCTGTAATAATATTTTACAAATTAATTATGCATTATAATAATTAAAAATTATATTTACAAATTGTTAATTATTATAATGCCTAATTAATGTCAGTTCGTGAATGTATTATTTAATTTTTTCGTAGCTATATGATACAAACAGTATTTATAAGTACACCATAAAAAAAAATATAATTATAATACTCACCATTAGGAAATCCCTTGTATCAACGTGAACTTCATCAAAGTCATCACACACAAAAAAACATACTCCATTGCACACTACATTCACGGTAATTCACTTACACGTAACTACGCTCGCATACACGTATGTGTTAAAAGTCCATCGGGTAGAAAAGTGTTTGCCAAAATCACATATCAATAAAGCCGTTCAACGACACCTTCGCGTGGTCATTGGCGCGTTCCAATTTTGAAATTAATATAATAATTTTACCATCGGCATGTTTAGGGGGGCGCGGTAACACGGTGCGGCGAGGCGCGCCGCTTCACTGACGGAGTTTGACGGGGTGGTGGTTCTGCGCATGCCTGCCCGCGCAGCCTCGTCTGAAAAGAGATGAAAATGGCGCGTGCCGATTGTTGGCACGACGGATGCCGAATTGTGACGAATATTCTCAGCTGCCGTGACGCAGGGCTCGTTAACGGTTTCTCTGAGCGTCGCCCGACGATAAATCGTAGTTAATTCTGTTATTGTGTTACGGATTTATGGGTATGTTAGCTTATTGTGAATACGTATCGCTTTAGAAACGATTTGTTATTGTGTACGAAAATATTATTTGCGTCTGTATGTTTTTAATTAAATAACTTTGCGAGTGAAATGCATTGTTACAAAATTTCAATTTTGGAATTTCAATCAATTTTATAGACTTACCGGAACTGGTCGATTGAAACTTTATATTGAATTGTCAACAACAAAGAATTACACTTTATTAAGAAAGTATATGTACCTACATATATATCGTATGACATGAATAATTTTCTTATTAAAAAAAAGTATCATCAAACTCGTGTAGAAAAGATAAGACGAGTCTATCCATCCCTGAACTTTCAGCACGACCACAGCATAGCTGTTGACTGTATAGCTCTTTCGGCCTCCATCGGCAACTTTCGGTTTTCGTCGGCCGCTCGTAAACGGGACGCTATTTTTACGACCTTACAGTTACGCGCTCACAAAAATATCAGCGCAGTTCCACTCGACTGTACCACTATCGGTCTAGGGTTGAAACTCCACTGGCAGTTTATGCAGGTTATTGTTACCGCGAAGAATCGGACCGTGATAGCCTTTTCTGAATTTTTTCCGGCTATCTTTCTTTGAGTAAAGGGATAAACATGTGTATACAGTTTTGTTGTGGGAAATATATTCATCCATGTCTTTTACAACTCTCGGTTCGTTACACTTTAAATACAGTTAATCCATCTTTTTCGCTTTTTTGTTATATTTATGTCACTCTAAGGGCATAGATAAAACGTTTTGTGTATTATGTCTCGAAACCCTATGTTCTCGTGTCGTATGTGAGACACCGCTTTCAGTTTCAATAGGCTGTGAAAGTTTTCAGTTGTACTAGCGATTCGGCCCGGTTTCGCACGTGTATTTGGAATTTTCGAAAACGTATTACTTGTATTAGTTGCTGATAATGTAATAGACTTTCTATAGGTGAAAGAATTTTTAAAATCGGTTGAGTTGTTTTCGAGTTTATTGGTTACAAATAAATAAACAATCAAATCTTATTTTTTTCTAATATTGATATAAATAATTAATGCCTTAGATATGATAAATAAGGAAACTAGACAGAGAACAAAGATATGGTATATTTAATTCCCATAAAAGACTAGCTAAAGTGACTTCATATTCACAAAGATTTTGGGGAGATTTTAATAAAAAAAAAATGTTTCCTTTGAGTGAAATTTACTAGCGTTAATATTTAAGACACTTTCCTTCCACCGACCGCCTTTTATTTCCACTCTGTATAATATTGCAATTATCATATCTTCGTGCCCACTAGTGGGACGTTAATGGGGACTCTTAGAATGAATAAATATTACATTATTTGGTGATCCACCAAGAAAGGTAATTTCTAAGTTCCGAATCGACATATCTTATTGTGCCCACACGTTTGTGCCAAAAACGGCCTTATAGTCGAAGAGTAATGTTTTGGAGAGTTCCTTCATTATGTACACTAGCAATATTCGAATACGCTTACTTACGCCTTTTGTATAATTTCTGATTTAAATTAATTGTACTCTTATTTACTATTTTTTTTTAATGGATGATAATGGAATAAGATCCATCGGTGCACACTGCCTGGGCACCAGTGATGGATGATAGGTGAGGATAACGCAGGTCAGTTAGCCCATAGTGACGAATTCACTAAAGAACCAATCACGATGATTTCCAGGGGGATCCACGAGGAAGTCGACCTGACAGGGTATGTTGCTAGTAATAGGGTTACTAATCCCCATCTCTAACAATCCATTTCCCTCCTGTATTTACTATTTTACAAATGGCGCGCGTAATACCTCTGGTATTGCAGGCGTTCATAGGCTACGGTAAAAAACATTTTTGAACCTTAAATGATTACATCACTATATATATTCATATGTATTAGTTTATCCATATATATTAAAAGTAATGTTTATGTATTATATGTGCATTTCTTATGTGTATGTATTGTGTATTGCCTTAATGTGTTACTATAATTGTCACATATTTTTCACCACGTCTGCCCTTCATACGCTTTCTGTTTTCACCTAATGGTTAGCTGGTAGAGAATGCCATATGGCATTAAGCTCGCCATTTGTACAAAATTTTATTGTGCAATAAAGAATAAATAAATAAATAAACACTATCAAATAATTGAACAAGTGAGTGTATGTTGGCGAAACTCTGTTGGGTAATACCCAAGGGTAATATTTAATTTTACTATTAGGTCTGCTTCCACGTTGTATAATTTAGGGTTTGCAATAACAGGAACTTCCGATTATTGCCTTTTGTTGGTTCCACTTTAAAAACTAACGCTTTGCGCACTGGCGGAAATGAATTATGTTTATTCATGAAACCCAATGAGCAAGTGGTACGATTCAGTTGAAGCTTGTGAATATTTTTGTACACTGTAATGTTAACTTGTTATTGTTGAGCGGCTTCGAGAAAGCTGCTTTTAGCCGTTTTGATAATTCGGTTTTTTTTTTATAAAAACAACAGAAAAACGAGCTTGCAGCTTATGTGATGATAAGTGATTACCACCGTTCACGAGCATCTGCAACATCAGAGAAATTGCAGGTGTTTTACCAGAGGGAGACTTTGTACAAAAGTCGATCGCTTGGGTACCTCTGTCCCGTTCGTGTTTCAACCGTGAAGCAGTTGTGTTTGCATGACTGTGTTTCAGTTTGAAGGGTGGGATATGGCGAGAATTTACTGGGTACAAAGGAATAACACCTGAGTCCTCAGGAATGGCAACGCATTCGGGGTATCATGGGCGAAACAGTATACTCTGTTATGTTCATGGTACTGCTCATATCTATAGGCAACGGTTACCACTTTCCATCAGGTGGGCCGGCAGCTTGTTTGCCATTCTAAGTTGTATAAAATAAATAAAATAGGTGTGCTGCCGGCCTTTTAAAATGATATATTCTTTTTTCTTGAAGGTTACGATGTCGTATCGATTCGGAAATACTACTGCTGGAACTTGATTCCAAAGAATGGTTGTGCATGGAAGAAAGTAATAAAAAACGCATGGTGGAGGATAGCCACTCGACCAGATGATTGGGATGGAACTTTAGTTTGTGGTGGATTGTACGATTGCAAAATTTAGTAGCAGGTATCAGGTATCTGAAGAATTCTTCAGAATATTCCTAAGATTTTATTTAGTTGTTCATCCCATATTTACTTTGTAATAAAGTTTTTGCTATTCTTTCTGCTTCGGACAACTTCATAATAGATTCTAGTATTTTCTTAGAAGACGGTATTTAAGTAATAATTTCCGCAATCCTAAATCGATTTCGATGATTCTTATTTTAGCTTATCTAGGTTATGTATCTTTTAACAGATATATACAGTTAAATATTCACTGCTGAACATAGCCTTCCCCATAAGGGGGGTTTTGCCAGTAGTTGCCACACTTGGCAACTGCAATTTGGATTTTGGTAATGTTATAAGAGGGATGCTGCTGCCCATCCCTCCACCATAAGCTCTCTTAGTCACCTCTTACCACAACTACGGGAAAGGATGGGATGGCCTATTCTATGCCGGGACGTACACAACTAACAATAGAATATACAGAAAGAAAGGGATCGTTAGTAATGAAAGTCTACAAGCCTCACAATTAACAATAAATCAGAAATTAAACTAAAAAATCAGATCGACCTCCACGTGGTTCCCTTTGGAAACCATAGTGGTTAATTCACGTTAAATTCATCACAATAAGCCAACTGGCCTGCTTTTATTCTCACCTATAATTTCTCACCGCTGTCTCACCAGCGCATACTGATAGCGTAGGCGGAGTTAAACACTCATTAAAAACTCGAATATTAATTTACCAAAAATACTATTTTCGAATCTCAACCCTGCGTCCAATTAACTCGAACCTCGTTTACTTAAAACAACGTTAAAAATAACTTCACCCGAAAATCTAGACGTGCAAATTATAATCCATTCGCGAATCGAAGTTTAATTATTTTAAAATCTCCCTGATGTTTTTCATTACATAATTTCTTAAAAAAAAAAAATCTCTCATATCTCTGTTAAGCATTAAGGAAAATTAAATTATTCAGTATTTTATCTCTGTCTGCCTAATGAGATTGGCTTAGGTGTGAAAGGGACGAACTCACATCTGTGATGGTAGAGTACTTTAATATTTAACGAACCCTTAATGAGTACTTATTGATCTTGTAAGACTGCCATTATATTAGTGTAATATTATATATATATATATATATATATATATATATATATATATATATATATATATATATATATATATATATATTCTTTATTGCACAAAAACATACAGTAACAACAATAAGTTAATAACAATGTTAGCAAAGGCGAACTTATCTCTAAAAGAGATTTCTTCCAGTCAACCTAACGCAGTGGCATAGGAAGTAGTGAATTTATGAATAACTTGAAAATGTATTTAACAAAACATTGACGGTAGAAATGAAAATTTATAGGTCCACTAGCTTATTCCCGTGGCTACGATCGTGTAAATCAGTAGGTATTTTACCAGAGGGAGACTTTGTACAAAAGTCGATTGCTTGGCTACCTCTGTCCCATTCGTGTTTCAACCGTGAAGCAGTTGTATTTGCGTGGCTATGTTTCGGTTTGAGGGTGGGATATAGCGTGAATTTACTGGGTACAGAGGAATAAGAGCTCATGAATGACAACGCATGGGGGGTATCATGGGCGAAACAGTATACTCTGTTATGTCCATGGTACTGCTCATGTCTATAGGTGACGGTTACCATTTTCCATCAGGTGGGCCGTCAGCT